ATAGAAAGGTTCAGAGAGCTACTTTCATCTTTATTTTGTGTTTTTTAGCAGCTTTAAAAGGATGACACAGTTATTTTTAACACAGTTAACAGAGACGGTCGTGTGAATCAGGCAACTGCTTTGGCCAACTGGGAAATATCTCAGCCTGTAGCGTGACATTCAGTCTTTTCTAGATGTCCATGTTTCCCCTGGGGTGAAGTGCAATATCTTTTTATTATCCTCTTCAGCCTGGCCTCTGCTCTTTTCTTTATGACTGAATGTCTGCAAAATAAAAAAACATTTTAATGAGCATGCTAAAATATGAAGGGTCTACACGGTCTGCTTATCAGGGTAGCGGCTCGTGTGCCGATGTGACAACCTCTCACATTTCTGGTGTGTCCTGTCATATCAACTGCCGGACTTTGGTGTTATTTATTATGAGTGTCACAGCCTCAAAGAGCAGCTAACATGACATATTTTTGTTTACACATTTCCACTGAATTCGTCATGACACATTTGTTATTTACGACGATTTTTCACCAAAACAAGCCCTCAAATAAAATTGGCATACGGTTATGTGCCTGTCACAGATTTGTTGACTAATCACTAAAATCATATAGTTGTGCAGTAATATCAAAGATATGTTTGCATTCATTTAGTCATCCACATAGTGACTGTTCTTAATGAATCTCCTCCTCCTGCCTCTGCGTTTCCACAGCTTTGTGTGCTATGAGTACCCCGGCTACAGAGGCCAGCAGTACATCATGGAGTGTGAGAGGCACAGCGGAGATTACCAGCACTGGAGGAACTGGGGCTCTCACTGTCAGACTCCAAAGATCCAGTCCATCAGACGCATCAGGCACTGAGAGGCGGCAGATCAGGACAGCAGCAGCAGAACAACCTGGGCTCTGGCTAACACCTGTGTGTTCAAATTTAGGGGCCCAAATCATTAACCTACAGTTCTGTGACACAAACCATTAGTGATGTAGCAGCTACCTCTTTATTCCAGCACGTGTATTTGTTGCTCTCAAAAATGAAGTGTGTTGTTTTCCATCCATCCATTTACACAATACAGGCTCACGGGACGGTTGGAGCCTATCCCAGCTTACATGCGACAAGAGGCTGGGTACACAGAAAGACAAACATTCAGCTAACTTCACAAATATGTCTTTGGATCACGGTACAAACCAGAGAACCTGAAGAAAACCTCATAGGCACAGGGAAAACATGCACACTCCATGCAGAAGGGACCCAGCCGGGCGGTGGATTCAACCCCTGGACTACCTGCTCCACTGCTACCACTATGCCAGCTACGGTTTTCTTTTGGTACATGTAAAATAAAGATCAGAGTGAGAATGTGTGATGTTATTCCTGTGTTGTGTGTGAATGCAAGACAGTGTTCGGTGTCGAATCAGCTGATCTCCAAAGTGAGCGAGGTGACAGGACAGTAACAAAAGTCAGTGAATAATAATGACTTGATCGCATACTAGACTGTGCAAAACTATTAAGGTGTCAGTCGTACCTGAGCTGAAGAATCAGCTCTACGTGTGTGCACGCCTACAAAGTGTACCAAGTGTACCTCGTGGCGCAGTAGCTCATCCAGATCAAGGGCCACTAAAATTCACAGGTTATTGTAACGTGTGAAGTACAGAAAGAAAGTGGTACGATTTCTTATTTGTTTTCACTCATGCACAAACAAAAAAAAAATCCAATCCACTGAGAAGTCAAAGAGGTCCACAAACAGCCATATTTGTCATATTACTGTTGTTACAATAGAAGCGCCAGAAAGGCCCCAACCACACCTCCCTCATGTGGGAGTCAGCTAATGGAACCAGTCCCTCCATGATCACAAACACTAAGCTCAATATCATCACAAAATAACAGGATAAAAGTGTTACACGGCATGTGTGGCAGTGAGATTTCAAGCTATTGCATCATTTTGTATTTTTAATATTTTTTATTATTATTTTATATTTGGAGTTCAATATGAAGAATCGTATGTTATGGCCCAGGTTCATGAACACTCCTAACCTAACTCAAGACATAATTTTGCCATAAATAAACCTAATTACAAGATTTGTGTATAGATGGTACAGAGGCACATACAAACACTTATATGAACATTATAATCCAGACAAATACTCTAGGATGAGTAGTGATACTAGTGCCCAGTCAACAAATAAACTTAAGATGACAATTGTGTTTAGGTTTGATTCAATTCTGCCCAATACTGTAGGAGGAGCAGTGATTTTGTGAACTGTGAACAGACTGACAAGTGATAAATACCTCGTGTGGCACTGAAGTAGCCTATTATTTATAAAAAAAAATATGCTGTGTGACAATAATTGCAAGCCAATTTACTTCAGTCTTGCTGTTCCTTGTACTGGTTACACTCTGGTTACATTTTCAGGTTTCCATGGCAATGACTAGCTGTCACCACTACCTTAATATAAAGTCAGTGACTTTGACAACACACCACCCACTTGTCAGACGTAAACATCACAGTCAACAATAGTTTGATTCAGCACATCTTTTTACTTAAAACTGCATGTTTATACTGGAGAAAAGCACAAAATACATTCTCAGGGTCAGAAATTACATAAACTGAACAACATCAGCACGGCGATAATGCAGCTAAGCCCTCTAAAACACTTGCAATACCATATAAAGTTGAATTAAATGTTATACATCCACCGTAGGATGTTGATTACATTCCTTCCTCCTACAGTTGGTTAAAATAGAAATCTGTACCTTGATGAATAGAGCTGCTGTGGTTCAAGTACATCCAACCTTACTATATATATCTATATATATCTCTATCTCTATATATATATATATATATATATAATATATATATATATATATATATATATATATATATATATATATTAGTTTAAGTATTTTTAAAAACGGATCATCATGCTTGAAAGTGTATATACATATATATATATATATATATATATATATATATATATATATATATATACATATATATATATATACATATATATATATATATATATATATATATATATATATATATATATATATATATATATATATATATATATATGTATATATATATATATATATATATATATATATATAGAGAGAGAGAGAGAGAGAGAGAGAGAGAGAGTAAGGTGCAAGCCTAGGTGTTTCTGCATGAAAACACCTAGGCTTGCAGTTAGGGAATACAGAGTGCTGTCCAGTAAATCTAAAGTTACCTCGGAAAACATAAAAACAGAGTAAAACAAAAGACATTTAAGTAAAAGAGGCACAGTAAGAAGAAGTTTTGGTATATATACACAGCAAAGGCTGCACAGTGATGTGCAGAATTCCCTCACGTTTACAAGGCAAATAGCTGACTTGATGCAGGTGAAATTTATGATGGTGAAGTTACAGCAAGCCATAGATTGAATAACAGTTTAACTTAGACGTAAGTTTCCAGTCCAGAGGAACCGCAGTGCCTTAAACTCGTATTCTTTCTTATGGCCAGCAGAGGGTGACTCCTCTGGCTCCAAAGTATTGTCCAATATATTAACATTTGAAAGAAATTGACTGTAATGCTCACTCCATTTGTGATCACAGCAAACACTTTCAAGCATGATGATCCGTTTTTAAAAATACTTAAACTAAAATAGACTGAGTAAGCTTTAGGGTATGGAGACATTGTGTCAAGTCCCTACTTTACGACCATAGTGTTTCTTTGTCAGATCTACCTCTTGCTTGTTACATCACGATTTCTTTTTTTCTTTTTTTTTCAGAAAACATAAAAACATGATAATGCCTATGATTATAATATTGAGTTCAGGGCTCTAAAGGGGACTCCACTAACAAAGGATGTCTTCAAGGCACTCACATCCATCTTTTAAATAGCCTACACTTTAACATCTTTGGGAGTTTAGCCGTCATTAGAAATAATCATTCAGCACAGAAAAGCAGTTACTGCATGAGCAAAGAGGTTTCTATGTTAGACCCTTTGATACTATATTGAAATGATACTGTATGTATATGCAGGTTCAAAAAGCATATTTGGCCCTTTACTGTTTTGACATGTACAAAACACTAAGTTATGTATGAGTGTTTCTTCATCTAATGTCCCTTTGAGAATGGAATTAGTGGGTTTGCATTTGTAGCACTTTATTTTAGAGTGCATGAACCTCATCTGGACTTAGCATCGTCTTCGGCTAATCGGCAACTTCTAGCAATTATTAGCAGAGCAGAGTTCACAGACACAATGCTAATGTACTCTCAGCTTTAACATGCACTGTGCAACTAGTGTCTGGAATGCCCACCGTATCACCTGCTACAAACCAAGATGGAGCAAGTAATGTTGCAGGGCTACATGCTAATGTTAGCATATAGCTCGTGTGGCTGTAGTCCTTTCAGTTTGTTTGTTTCTGAATATTATTTTAGATTTCTAAAATCTATACCTTACTGGGATTAGTCAGAAAAGACTGAACTACGCACATGCTGAATGCTGCACTTCATCAAACATATATTCAAGCTCATCTTCTGCATCTCACAGCAGACCGCTTCTGACAATGCCTTGTGTGATTCCAGATTCTCTGACTAATGTGCAAACACTATTAAATGAAATACTGAAATTATAAGGAATTAAAACAACAAATATGGGGCTTTTTTATGTTGCTTACAAGAGGCAGGCTTGTTTTTCTATCAAAACACGCTTCACCTTGTGATTAAACTCAGAAAATCAATTCCTTCATTTTGTCGCTTGCTTTCAACTCTTTCTATGCAGATTTTTTTTCAATAATAAACAACAAATTCTCATGAAGAAGAAGCACAAAAGCAAGTGAAATGCTCTCTGCACTTATCATTTGGTTAGCCAGTCTACATAGAAAGAAAAAGGACTCAATTTTTTGGTTTTATCCAGAATATGCTGATGTGTTATAACAATATAGCCGTTAAAGCTGGTGTACTTTTCTTATTGATGATTGTAATTTCACTTAAGCAGTTACCTATAGCTTTCCTTCAAAGTTAGAAAACTATAAACTATCGGGGCTTTTTCTTAATTTTTATATTTTCCACTGAAAAACAAAAATTTACAGAAATATTAATGAATAAAAGAGCGTCCAGTGCTATTTTAACTCTTCCTCTCCTCTTCTCATATCTCTCCGTCCCTCTCGTTCACACGGGCGTCGTCCTGTCCACGGCCCTCGGCTCCTCTTCTCCTGGCTCTGGGTGAGTTAGCTCCCTGATACCAACCCTCTTGGTCCCTTTCCTCCCCGTCCAAATTTTGCACTACATCACAGTCGTCTTCCTCCCTCTCATCTTCTCTGTCGTCCTCCTCGCTCCTCTCCGAGTCGGACTCATCGGAGTTGTCCTCTTCCAGGTAGCGGTAACCTTTGACCTGAGGACAAAAAGAATTAGTTGAATTAGTTGCTCTGATGTCAAAACCCGTTTCTAGCTTAGTATGCAGTAGCATTTTTCACAATAAAATGCACTGATCCTTGGATTACCTTCTTCCAGAAGAAGGACAAATCAGTTTTTAGCAATTCTAATCTAACCACATAACAAAACGCTATATTCTACTTATATAAAACGCTTATGTAAGCAGACAATCTCTCAACAGCCTGTTCTATCTACTTCTTTTGGTCTGCCATCACTCAGAAACCTCAAAATAAAACTTCCATTTACTTTAATGTAAAACAAATAAGATCCTTCAAAGCTTGATTGAAGCGCCTTTTTATATTTTTGCGTGAAAGGCTAAAATCTAAAATCAACAGAGAAGGAGTCAGCAAAATAAATCAGACTGAATCCACAAAAATGCCATCTCAAGGATTTTCTGTGTGCAAATACTTGTTTCTGATAGGTCACTGTTATACACAGCAAAATCCATGCATAGAATATAATACAAATATAACAACAACCATGTGTATTCAGTGACTTCACACATGTTTAAATAGTGGCACGGACTTGATAGACATGTAATATTATTTTCAGATATTGTCCTAAAGGACACCTTCATGGGTAATACTGCTCATACATTTGCAGATAACTGTAAACTATGTTTGAAAAACTAATTTGCCTTTGGTGTGAGGTTTTTTTCTACAAAAGATAATGAAGGAAAAAAAGGGAAAAATAATGAGCTTATATCTACTCATTCCTCTTCAAAGAAAAAGTTTTTACAGACTGCATGGGGGAGTTTTTGGCATGCCCCAAAGTAATTTCAGCCAGAGCATAAGAAAAATAATCAGCTGCCTCTTAATTAGGGTTTCATTTTTGTCAGATGATCAGAAATACAGGAATATGCATGGATGTCTGTCAAATACGGTAACATGCACTAATTGCCTGTATTGTCTGCTTACAAACACAGCCACCTCCCAAAGGCCCACAGAGACCTTTATGATATGTTCAGTTCCATATCACAGAAAGATTCTGATTGTTGTTGAAATCTAAAGAAACGATGACAGCTCGTGCAGAAAATGCGTCACTGCTCAGTTTGTGGTGTAGTTGATAAACAACACTGTATTTAATCTTCTTTAAACAGACTATTTTTTGCCTGCTGCCTTATTGCAAAACCAAAAATTCAGATCAATCAGAATATTTTTATTCTGATTTATGTATAATATCTAAGTATATCTTAAATCTAAACTAATATATCTTAAAGCCACTATAATATGTCCACAGAAAAGTCGACATACTCGACTCCACTCACGTTGATGAGATGACGAAGGAACATGAGAAGTTGGAGTCAGGTAGCAAAATGAGATCCTCGCTGCGTAGCTTCAGTTTACAGTCAATTAAATGTGAATTAAACATGAAGTTGGTCACAGCTGCATAATAAATTGCTACAGCTGTATTTTATTACGTGAGGTTTAACAGTGCTCAGAACGTTTCATATTTAGGGACACTTTTAATTAAATTGATAACATGGCACAATGTGACAAGATTTTGAATTATCTTTTAACCACACACACAGAATCTATGACAAGCAGAGAGTCTGGTGAAATTAAATGACTGAAACAACATATGAATACAAGGTTTTAAAGAGTGCCCCTGTGGCCATGGTTTGCATATTCCAGCTGCGTGCCGGTGCCTGTTTTATAAATTGACAGTGAAAACACTTCACGTGTGCATCTTCAATTATAGCCTCTGCCCTTCAGGTGGATTTTAGGAATTGAGGCATCCTCCAGCGTGATGTACTGAGACCGATTTCAAGGGGACAAGGAGGCGGATGGAGGACAGAGGAGATGAAATTAGAGAAATGAGAAAAGCATGCCACACCTGAGTGCAGCAGCTGATCAGCATTCTGCTCATTAATGAAACTGCACTTCAATCCAGCACTACTAAACCACTCCTTACTGGCCACTGTGATCTGTGTTTTCGGGATGAGCTCAGTAAAATTCAAAACGTGACCTTTAATCATAACCTAGGGTAACTTCTCTGTCTCTCTGCCATGTTCTAAACTGTTTTCCTGTGTTTGTGAGTAGCAGCAGAGCCTAATTAGTTTATAGTCTTCAATTTTTTTATGTTTTTAACACAGAGCTCCGATTTCTTTTTTTCTTTTTTCATGGTTTTGGTGGCGGTGTTGGAGCAGAGGTCCAGGGGTCAAACCTTGGAGACCCTGAAGTCTAGCTTCCTCCTTATTTTATTCCCCTTTTTCCTTCTTTAATTATATAACTTGTTGACGTATAATGATTTATAGCAGAGGAGAGGCCTGTCCATTAGTTCTGACTTAAAGTTTTCTAGTGCCCACTATTCATGTTACACCTTGTGTCACCTTATACTTCAGGTAAAGACTATAACACACTGTGTGCGCAAAGAAACCTCTCAAGGTTCCCACTGAGTTTATCATGTCCCCAGCGCCCTGCATGCTCTAATCGGGGGGGGGGTTTCGGAGAGAAAACATGTCGGACAAACTCTCCTGCTGTGTGGAACGTGACAAAACAACTTTGATTTTCCTGAAAACATGCAGAGATCATGTTTGAAAAGGGCTCATTACAAAGACCAGATTCATGTATTGATCCTCGATGGACTGACTAGTTACCTTGTGTCGTGGCCGAGGGATGCGAGGCAGTCTGAATGGCACTCTCTTGGCCAGGCGACGCTCCATCACCCAATAGCAACAGCAAGCCAGCAACAAAGTGACTAGTAGTATGGAAAGTTTTGCCTTAAAGGAAAGTGAAGAAAAAAATAGGTTAGACTAGGAACAAAAAAATGGAGGGAAAAACTAACGACATAAACACCGAGTCACATACCCTCATAGGAAGACCATACCAAAGGTATACTATAAAGATGGCGATTGCCTGCCACCAGTGATAGATGGTGTAGACAAAGTCCAGGCGTTCCTTTTCTTCAGCGTACAGCATTCCGAGTAGGGCTGGAACACACAGAGGAACTCATGTTGTCACGTGTCATAGCTGAAGACATGCAAACATAGAGACCATGGATGATACTCACTGCTGACGCCTGTCTTGTTCAGGGCGGTGCCGAGTCCCCATAGCGCAGAGATCACTAGTAGAGGGCCCTCATACTTGAGGCATTTCGGCTCTGGAGAAAATGCCATGAGAACCACCACAAGCACTCCATGCACAAAAGCACCACTGATGAGACACACCCAGCGTGGAAGCCGTAAGAGGGAAAGGCTAAGGGAGGAAAAGATGGAGGCGGAGAGGCCGTAGACGACGATGAGAAGCCACAGTTTATTTAGACCCAAAGCACATACACCGTAAGACTGTTGAGAAAGAAGGGGGGGAGACACATTCTTTCAACATTTTATGACCTGATTCACAACTCTGCTTTCTCTCATGACATCCTTAAATCCTACATCCTTACATCTGTATTTCCGTTTCTCTTTAACAAACTTAAACTACTGTACAGACAATCTGCATGAGTTTAGTACCAGGGTGAATCCAGAGATGGCAAACAGTGTCTCGAATCCACTGTAGATGAAGAAGGGGCAGAGCAGCCGCAGGCGGTAGTCCCTCAGGTGTTTGAAAGGCAGCTGAAAGATGTTTCCCCAGCCTATACTGCGAAGGTCGATCTCTTCTGTTGGGCGGTAGGCGGCCCCACACAGCCCGAGGAACTGTGAGTAGCAGCACACAGAGATCACTTTATTCAGAATAATTTTCAATGGAGCTTGTGCTTCAGTTTGTTTTTGTCCCATGGTGAGGTTTTAAAAAATGTCTAAGAATAGAACAAACACAACAGATGCCTGAGAGCAACATTAGCTCTTAAACTAGCAGCTGGTACCCAGTTGGTACAGACTAAAGCCAGTGAAAAAGTGTTTTAGCATCTATTAGCTTGTTTTAGTTTACAGTCTCATCACTTTCATCGTTTCCAGCAATTCCTCGAACAAATTGTAAGCCAAATGGATGCTAGCTTCCCAGCAAGAATCCCAATTCACTGACTTTAAATACCAGAGGTCTGAGGTGTTTTCCAGTGCTTTGTTCATATCTTGCAAGTAGCCACAAGAACGGTTATAAAACGTCTGATTGGATCACCCTACATGGTATAATGTGAGCCTAACAATAATAGAATACTGTAAAACAACTAATATAGAACTTTCAAGCACATAAATTACAGCTAATGAATGTCGTAATCAACTCTGTTACAAGACCACCACAGACCTTATCTTTGGGGATGCCTGGAGTTGCGGCGCTCTGCTGCTTCTCTGTTTACGCTTTATAGTTTGCAGCTTTAGCTTTACAGTAGCTCTCCTGTGATTTCTTTTATAACATCAATCTGAACGTCTTGTTTATTGAATATTTATAGCTTCTTGTGGGTTACACATGCTAACTGTGAGAGAGGTTCTCAGCTGCACACAACATGCCATATTTTAGACATCAATACAGGTTTGAAAAAGGCTTAATTTTTTCCTTTATTTATAAAGATTTGATATTATCTAAGGATTAATTTCTCTTCTCTGTAAATCCAAACATTCTTAAGAAAACTTTGCAAGTCTTTTATCACATGTAATTCCATCTGAAATGGTTTCCTCAGAGCATTTTTACATTTATCTTTTAATGAGAAAGTGATGTACACGGGGATTTATAAGAATAAGATTACCGTTTCAGCTCGGTGTTAATTCCATCAGAGCATTTTTTGGGTACCCAATTCAATTTTCTCTCAGTAATTTGCTCTTTGTTTTGGTTTTATATGCTTGTCTAGTGACTACTTAATGCTGATGTTTTATTGTTGTTTTGCAAGAACGTCACAACAGGAAACAGCGACACAGATTATACAAAGCCTGTCTAGATAATTAGAAAACAAACACCTAAACAAACTGAATGACCTCGAGTCTACGTGTTTATGTGCCTGTGTAGGAAGAGAACTTACAATGATCATCGAGAGGAAGGCGAAGCCCATGAGCACGCTCTCCACTTGGATGAGCAGCATGGAGCTTGGCAGTTTTTTCAGCACGGTGTTGTTGAAGCCGGGGATCAATCCGGTGACTTTAGCACCTGGTTTAGGGACAGGAAAGAAATTAGAAAATAACTGATGTCAGCCAAACAGCCTGTGTTAATCCTACAGACTGTTAAAGTGTCTGTCTGTACATTTAAGCAACAAACTGTACTTTACAGACTTTTATTGCAGCCGTACTTTATAAAATTACAAAAATGCTTTAAAAGTCTCTGAGTGGATGAAAGGCAGATAGGAATGCTGATTTAATAAAACCTAACAGAGCTGCAGACTGAAGAAAACAAAGTTCTTTATGCAGTTGTGATGTAAATCAAAGAGGTCAGCTACAGTCATGTGATCCTCTACCTCAGGTCTGTTTCCTCCTACTGTTAAAATGTGTGTTTTTTAGCCAGTAAACCTACTTCCACTTAATGAAAACATCTGAATGGGGAAACTGTGACACAGCCTGTCAGTTGGTGATGTTTCTCTTTAAGTTTCATTTTGAATAATACCAATGTTACCAACTATTTTTATTTTTTACCACCTGTTTAGTTTTGCACTGCTGATTTTAAAAAAGCAGCTGTGATCATGGTGCTTAACTAGTACTGAAAGTACTGTGCAAAAATCTTAGAGGCATGCAGCAATTTATTGAACCAGCAAAAACAGCTTGAACAGTTCTAGCCTGTAGGCTTTTTGAAGGACATTCAAAGCTCTACTTTGGCTGTTTCTGCCTTTTGTTCATTTCTCTGTCAACATGATCCCCACTGCTTTAATAATGTTGAGGTTCAGGCTCTGGGGAGACCAACCCATGATGTGTTTTTCTATCCAGTTTTTTTTCTGCACTGGCAGTGCAGGGATCATTGACATGTGGAATAATTAGGCTGAATCATTACATCACTAGCAGTCTTTGTAGATAAGATTGAGTACTGAACATCAGATTTCAAATTTGCGCTGAAAGTTGAAAATACAAATTGACATTTTATTGCTTTTTGAAATTCACAAATCCAGCAGACACAGAACAATGTGTGGATATTTCAACCTGTTTCCAGCACCTGGTGAGATAACGAGCCTCCAGGTTTGGCTGTGGTTTGGTCTCTGAGAGAAGTGTGTGGCTCTTTTACAAGCCTCTTGCTAATTTTACTTTTAGTACTTGGATTAAACCAGGTAACAAAGTGGCTGTGTCAGCTTTTTCTTTTCTTTTCTTTTTTTAATAATTACGTTCTGCCTAGTCAATATTAACACTCGGGCAACAAAGTGTTTGTCTATGATTACTCTGAATCCTCCAAACACTCCATAAGGCACTAGGGGAACTAATAAAGAGTAAGACGGGAAGACTGATGGACTTCCTTGTGTGTTTTTACAAAATAAAAAGCAGGGATGGGAGTTAAAATCTCTAAAATATAATTTATTATAAATAGAAAAAGTTACATGAATTAACTGGTTTTAAATGACAGCCTCACAATTAACAGGATAGATTGTTTTCTTTTTTTGGAATGATGATGGATTTAGTTGAAAAGTTGATAAACATTCCTATTTCCCATACTCTTCCTCTTAATATTAACATGGAAGTAAATTTAACTTTTATTGTCCCGAGCTTATTATGGTGTATCTGTACTGAGTCGCTACTGGAAGTGAGGAGGCAAGTTTCTTTACCGCAGTGTTTCACTTGGGCGAGGACGTGGGAGTTATCATGGAGGTAAACGCTGTTGAGGACGAAGGCCATGGGGAACTCGGCGAAGACAAAACTCAGCTGACGCAGAAGAAAAGAAAAAGGTTTGCCCGTTTGTCCAGCAAACAGTATGATATTAATAACATCATTAATGAGGGAAAGCTGAAAGACTCACATTGAAAATGATGTTAAAGACCGACTGGAAGACGATGATATAGCTGTGGCACGCTCCCTTTGGGAGCTTCTTCTGCTCCTGCACGTGCTCCTCCTTATAGTTGACGCATTCATAGTACTGCTGTGCCATCCTGTGCATATATGAGAGTGTTTATGGTGTTAGAAAACAAATTTAGAGGCATTTATTTTGTACTTATCTTCAATTAATCACACGAGCCCCTTGTCTCTGTGTATGAAGTGTTTAAATTGATCAAAACCACATAGGCTGTCTCTGTTTCACACTAACAACTACGCTTTGCCCTATAAATGCTCTATATTCAGGAGGTGTAAAGAACCCGAGAACAAGCTTTACATTCACATTTCCTCTTTTAGGATTTAGCGACTTCATAAAAGGCAAAAACACATCAGAGCATTAAAAAAAAAGTATTCTGCCAGCAGCATTTATAATAAAAAGAAAGATCAATACAAACTGAACAGGCGGTGACAGAAAAAAAGATCTCAGCTTGTAGTCAGCGCAGCACGGCTCAAAGGAAATACAACAAAGAGCCTGGTAAATTGTTCTTTCAGTCTGCCGTTGATTAAACTGATACAAGGTTTTGTTACATCTGTTGATGAAAAGACATTTTAAATAATGCTCACTCGATGATGCTTTCTGAGAGCTTTGTTGTGCCGGAGGGACACGTGAAGTAGGGACAGGTATTCAGTGTCTTCATAAAGCAGCAGCTCTTATCATCCACATGAAACATGTAAACATTAGACCTTACATCTAGCAGAAATATGGAGCATTGCTCGATTAGCTACTAGGAAAATTGTGCCAGGCTCTAAAACTCCAGGAGTCCCATTTTTGCTTGAAGAGCTACAATAGCAAAATGTTCTTTACAGAGCTCTACTACTGCCTACACTTGAGATCTTCTTCTGTCGCTCTGTTAAATCCTGTAGCTACTCATGATAAACACGTAGTTTCAAGTAATGATGTCTGCATATAAACAAACAATTCCTGTGAGCCAAAAGTGTTTAGGGCTTCAGACTGCTCTAAACACTTTTACTGTAGTCTTGGCTGTTTGATGTCACTGTGGCACATGGATCTGGCTGTGACCACAGAGGCCTCCATTTGCTGTTCAAACCTTCTGCTCATGAGCAACTCAGACAAAAGCTGGGATAGAGACTAGAGAGAGGAGCTGAAACGGCGTGTTTCTCACAGAGGATGAACTGAAGAGTCGCACTAAAGCCTTTTTATAAGGTATTGTTTGTTTGTTTTTTCAAGATTTCAACCGTCCTCTCTCATCTAAAAGTCTGCTGACAAAGCCCACTACACCACTGTATTGTGCCTCCCATGGAGACTTTCTTGCTCTTTCTGCTAGTTTGTTTTACCTGATCGGCCCGTGATTGGCTCGCTTTTAAAAGAATGAATGAGGCAAGAGGAACAGCCGCTTTCTACTTCCTTCACTGGAATAGAATATCCTGAAAGGTTACTATAGTTTTAGGGGATTTTTTGTTTGTTTGTTTTTTATTTCTATAAATCTTAAGACGCAGCAAGAGTTAAGGAAGCACTTCCACCCACCCAAACTTCTACTTCTTCTTTCTCACCGTGTGATATAATTTCCCAAGGAGGCCCACAGGGGCACAATGGCCACACCGATGGCCACAGCCGATGGAACGAGGGTGTAGTAACGCTCCCAATAATTTGTAGAGACGAAGAGAGCGTAGATCCCCGAAGCCAGGAACATCATCCACTTGGTACCTAGAAACCTGGATGTGAGACAGGGTGTTTAAAGGAAGAGCAGGAACATTTATATAAAGACATGTTTTAAAACTTGGGTTTATGTTGCTACCTGATGAGGAGAGGCGTGTACAGGAGGCCTATGATCGGTGTGACATTAATCCCCATCAGCATCTTCTGGTCGATGTCCTGCAGGCCGAGGTTGCTGTACTTTACCTCACGGTAGGTCGTATCATAGTGGAGGATCAACTGCATCTGCAGGAGGCCTGTTGCACACATGTACAGGTACAGTAAATGTTCACGAGTATTCAAGCTACCCTGTCTGTGTGTGCCTGTTTGCCAGTTTCAGCACCCCATCTTCAGGGAAACTCACCCATGTACACACTGTACACAATCATGGCTCCAATACTGGCTGCAACAACATTCTTGATGATTCCCAGCCTCTTCCTTCGATAGTATTTCTTCTCCTCCTCCTCCTCGTTGTAATCAGCCTGTGGGCCCAAAAACTCCTCCATCTAAAGAAAGAAGGACAAAAAGTTATGCAACACTTAAGCAGAGGCAGAGACGTGTTTATCAAATTAAAATCGGATTGTTCTGATCCGTAGTACACCGTACTGATAACCAGAGAAGCTGGATTTATGAAGGTTCTCTGAAATCAGCTGAGCTCACCTGGCCCTGCACGTTGTCTTCGTGGTCCACATTGAGCATTTCGTTCACGTTGCCATTTGGAGGCACAACAAACTGATCATCATGAGGGATCAAAGCTTCCTCGCCAGTTGCCTCCATCTGGTGACCAGAAGAAGCAGCACGCTATATTAATACTTCACTGCACCTTCTGCCATCATCGAAACCAATCGGCCACCTGCAGCCACCGTGGTTTTCAAGCTGCTGCACATGAACGAAACTCTAATTATAGATGCTTAAAGTTTTCAGAATCAAATTAACTGCAGACGTAAATATCATTAGTGTAATTACTATAATGTTGTATCAAACACACCTGACTCCAAATCACTTTAGATGCATTTTCAGATTTATTTTTAAGTATTTTGTTCATTTATTTTTGTTTTCAGTACTCTGAGACAAAACATAACTGGCTAATTTTAGCACATGTATTTATAGCTTTAAAACTGAACACGTTATAAAGTGAGATTGTGTTAAAATTCACAAAAATGCATACAGAAGCAGCATTACAGAAGCCATACTTCCTCTTAATTGTTTCTCAACACAACGTGCCAAAACGTTTTAAAGCTTGAAAAGCTATTTTAATACAAATATTAAGAAATCATAGAATAGGGGGTGGCAGTTATATAGAGGATATGTTCAGATAAGGGACTACTCACATTCACATCAGGATATGATATTTTCATTTATTTTAAAAACTAGCTGAATGAGTACTTTAACACGCGACTGTTTAACTTATTTTATCCAAGTTTTTATTTCAAGTGAAATTATTATACGTAAAAGTCCAACAAAATATTCACATTTAATGAAACATAAAAAAGACGAGCAGTGTGTGCTGTTGTTTAAAGAAATTCAGTTTCAGTTGTGTGTCCAGAGCAGTATGGCAGGTTGACCTTCCCGTGCACCGTGAGCTGCACGTTTATTACGCGTGCCGATCACGGTGCAGCTACAAAAGTCCAAAACCTTCACATGTGTTTTTGGAGCTAAACGACTGCAGCGTTTCTAAACAACTAAAACTAACTAAAACTTGCAACTCTTCTTACATTTGTATGCCTCTGTAATAATACTGGAATCACCACAAGCTGCAGTGCATTTTATAAAAAGCTGGTGACATTTATGACATCACTGCATTTTTTCCGCTTGTAAAGCCGTCCACTGTTCTATGCTGGACCTTTTGAACCAGTTCTGGTGTTGTGCCAACAACTGATTTCCAATGTTTCCAATGTGTTTTGATGTCTAATGTCTTTACGTATGTTGGCAGACTTTGGTGAACAGGATTCACACAGAGGTTATATATGAAATTAAGAAATGGCCTGTTTTGCAAGTATCTTTATGAGTCTGCATTATTGTACCTACATCATAACCAACTCGGTCTTTTTGGCCACTGTGCTTTTTTGTTGTTTTGTATAGATTCCTCTGGACTGTACATCTCTGCTGTTTACTCTTACTATTTATATCCTCCTGCATAGTTCGTGTGGAGTACCCATAATTTAATTGTGCATGTACAGTGAGGATTAAAGTCCTGTTTTATTGAACTCTCTTTATACAACTGTTATGTTAAATTGTTGCAGTTTCTGCTGCCCTCTTGGCCAGATCACTTTTTAAAAGAACATGTTTCCTTTCAGTGAGGCTTTTCAACCGAATAAATAAAGGATATAAAAAAGTCGCTTTGACAGCAGCTTCTACATTGTGACAGGAATGTTGTTTGTAGCTCAAAATAACTTGATGTCATTCATGAGGGATACATTTGACATATGTTTCACATATTAAAGGCCAACAAGTCAGTAACAGAAGTTTAAATACATGCAATCACTTTGTGGCCTCGCTCAGTCCCTGTGTTTAAGTTGTTAAGTGATAAAGTTTTCTGTTTTTGAATTAAAAACCTGCCGAATCAGTGGTGAGTACCACACTTGGTGATTCAAACCCCCAACAAGAGAAAATGAACTTGCATAGGATACAAGAAGTGTTCCTTTGTTTCTTTTAAATTGTATTTACATCACATTCCTTTGCATAATTAATATTATTCTTACTATTATAGGTTACCATTCACAGTTCATGGACTCCCCCTTCTCCTGTAATAATTACTGAAGTGTCTTTTGTTTCTTTTATGACTTTTTATGACCAGATTTATAAACTGCATTTTTATAAAAGCAGATGTGATCCATCAAAACACCTTTATCGACAGAAAAGCGTGTCTGTCTTAACAAACCAGCCTCATTCACAAGCCTTTTGTTTGCCTGACTTCTCTTTTCCTTCCCAGTATGGAAACTATGAAAGTTAAAGCCGTGCGGGATGGTGTAACTGCGTTTAACCCCTTATTTCAGATTTCTTTGACAGAGTCATATTATGACCCTTGTTATTACTTTCATGACAGTTTGCATCCGGGTCTTGTTGACGTTTCAGCGTTTCAAAGTTATTAGTCAAACCCACGTTCATAAAACAATCACCACCGTGTTTTGCCATCTACCCTGAAATTCACTTACCGTGTCAGTGGAGCGGGGCTGAAGCAGAATGAAGACGGGGACAGAGACACACGGACATCCCCGCCCCTGTGTCCCTTTCAGACCCTGTTGTCGTTACTTCTCCTTTCTTATATTAGGTGCAGTATAAATAAAAAGTTTCGTGGAGGAAACGAAAGTTAGCTATCTTCACTTCCTCACTTGTGCCTGCTTCTCTTAAAGCCGCAGACGCGCTTTTAGGAAACACGCCCCCTTCACGCTCTATGTGTGTGTGTGTGTGTGTGTGTGCGTGTGTGTGTGTGTATACATGTTTAGACGTCTTTGTGAGGACTTATGAGGGACAAAATGTTCGTCCCCACGAGTTGAAGGCATTTTTGAGGCTCAAAATGTGAGTTTAGGGTTAGAGTTACAATTAGTTTATGGTTAGGTTTAGGCTTATGATTAGGATTAGACATTCATTTTTGATGGTTAGGGTTAGGGTAAGCGGCTTGGGAAAGCATTATGTCAATGGGATGTCCCCACGAGGATAGCAAACCAGACATGTGTGTGTGTGTCGGAACTTTTAAAGAATTATTAATAATTATTAAGCGCGGTATCACGGGCTGTGGATGGAGGGGGCATGGGATATATAAAATTAATACTGAAGCAAACCGCTTGAAATCCACCGGTTATTATAATTCCGTCTCAGTTGCGCAGTTTGCAGTTCTGTTATAACATCACACGTGTTGTTCTGTTGAGCGGTGGGAGCAACAATGTCTCACACTTGCTCGGTTTGGTTGATTCAGAGCGACCCACCAGATGGCTTTGCAGAGTGCGAGAGCTGCAGTGAACTCATTAATTATACATTTAATAAAAAATAACACGCATTGCTGTTCCTGCTCTGGTGACGTCATGCTGGTACACAGGAGTAAAAATGCACAAACTTTACTTATTCTAGAGAAAGATCTTTAGATCCAGACACTGCCTGCATTATGGATAGAAAGCTGAAAGCCGGTTTCAGTTGCTGCTTGTTTGTGGCTCTCTCTGCCTTCAGTAACTGAAAAGCATGCTCTATTGGTCACAAATAAACACTAGTGGCACGGTTCCACTGCCAGCCATACATTCTCAAACTATAACACTGTCTCTACCATGTCTGACAGATGGTGCCGTGTTTGAGATCTTAAGGTGTCTCTCCTTCGACGCTCAGGTTTTCACTTGTCCATAATGACTTTTAGTTTTAGCCAAGCAGGATCTTTGACATGCTTTTTTGCAAAGTTTAATCTAGCCTTCTTCTTCTTGTGTAACCAGTGGTTTGCTTCATGTTTTAAACCCTCTATATCTGCATCTCTTGATTGTAGATATGGTTAATCAGCCTCCCTCCTTGAGCGCGGTCGTCCCTGGCCTGAAGTTGTAAAGCAGTTTTTCTTAAACCAGGAAAGAGTTCTGTGATCATGTTTCAGAATTCTTCACAGAAAATTTCATATCAACAAAACTTTTAGAACCTTTTTTTTTCAAAATGTAGAAAAACACTATGTTGTATCTGTAATAATCACTCGAGATTTCATTGTATTTCATCTTATAGTTACTGTATATTCATTCACACACTCTGCACGAGAGTGAAGTCGAACCATACCACAAACCTCGTGTGAGGGCCAGAATAAATACTTCCAACACTCATGAAGCTAGGCTACACGATGACAGCGCTTTATTAGAGTTAACAGCACACTGTGCAGCTTCTCTGCAGTGCAGATGAAAAGCTGTGTCACTGTGGTTTAAACATGAAGAAAAAGAGACACGCACACTAAAACATGGTCCACTGACACACAGCACAACACAGTCTACACAAGCATGACAAAATGAGCAAAGTTCAGGCATTGGTTTTTTTTGTTTTTATCTGAGCTGTTAAAGACAAAGAACCAACCAGGGTCAAAAGAGTAAACTATGAATAGTACAAAAAAGACATTTTGGCTCAGCCCATAATGAATTCTGTGCATGCCCTGACCCATGATTCGCTGTTTCTGAGGTGTTGCACAGGACTGACATGTCTGCATGACAGACAACTGTAAATAAACTAGTTCCACGGGTTGAACTGCAGCTTTGCAAAGAGTCTATATTTACTTTCAGTGCCTTCCAAAACCAAACAAGAAAAATCTGACCCCAGTTCAAAGGGTGAATTGAGATAAAGATTAAAGTTGAATCATTCTTTGCATTTGTCTGGACCTGTCACATGTAACCAGGTTTCTAGCTTTCTGGTGTTACGCATCAGAGGCCTTTCTCCTTTTCAGTCAGATTTTCAAGTGACTTCGAGAGTCCAGGCTCAACGTACAGAAAGTGGAAAAGATCCAGAGTGTCTGGTCCACTGTGAGTAGTTTCAACATGTCCTTATGCTGCTGATCCACCAAGTTTCTGAGGAAGAGGCAGTTTCTCTCAGCGGGCCCTCGACAGCATTAACTCCACACTTTTCTTTTTTTTTTATTTCCCACCCTTTAATTAAAATACAAGTCTCTCATTGTTTGAAGCCACACATGCTAACCCCATCCCCATGACCTTTTGATCCCACATCATTCTCCATTTTGTTTTCTTCATCCACGTCTATCCGCTCCCCACAGCCGCCTTCCTCATCATTTCCTCGTCCTGGACTGAGAGCTCCGTCAGCTTGCGTCCTAGCCGCTCGTGAAGGTCCAGATATTTGGCCACGCAGCGGTCCAGGCAGACCGACTCACCCTTGGTCAGCTCTGCCTCCTTATAATGTGGCGGTACGCACTTCCTGTGGCAGGCATTAGTCATTCTGAGAGGAAAGGAAGGAAACAGTCAAGATTCTTCAGTATTAAGAGTGATGATAAAAATACATTTTTAAAACATAACAAACGTGTTACTACATGATATATTCACGCATAAGCACCTTATTGTGGGGTCCCCATTATGACTTGCTTACAACAGTCACTTAGTAAAACAGAACAGCGCCATCTGCTGGAGTTATTTTGTGAACCTAAAGTTGGCTCTGAATACTCTCCTTTTAAAATTCATAGTTTCATATGACCTGATATAATAGTTATTTAATTTCATAAAGATGTTAAATTAACCAACTTTTAGGTCAAGAAAAGGTGCATTTAAGAAGAGTATTTAGAATTTCTGCAAATAAAATGTATTCTGGCTCATGTCACAGCAGAAATGTGCTTCCCGGTGTTGACACAGATCCTTCATCAGAGCAGGGAGAGACACAGATTCAGTTTAATTATATACTTCAAAGAAGAACTAGCAAAAAGATAAATGGCAACTAATTACTTCCTTTGTCCTCAAAGTCTTCACAGGGATAAGCCCCGAGGACAGAATTTCATACATCCTTGCCCAACAAACACCACATGACCACCGACGGACATTAAACCCAGTTCCTCTTCACTGCAGGAGATTCACAAAGAGACCAAACTCAAAACACATGAAAGTCATCAATCTCTCATTTCATGTTGCTGAATGAGTCTATCCAACAGCACTTCATCTAGCCAAATGTCTTTTAATACAACACCATGCTCATCAGAAGAAGCCTTAAGTTCCTTCTGCAGGTCACCATCACCGTTTGCCTTAGGAGACACAGTGATGGTGACCTGATAAATCACATTTCAGTGGATTATTTCTTTAACCCGATTAAAATTATTGGTTAGGTTCTTCACATCCAGCCCCAGGATTCAAAAAACTGCAACAAGGCAGACGATAAGCCACGAACGCCTCTAACTGCCTGAAAGGCCCAGTTACTGTCACTGTTCTGGTGAACTACAAGAAACAGTTAAACTGTTAAAAACAGGCATTTTACACTATGTACTTCTAAAAGTACTGCCAGCATTGGGATACCAATAAAATCCCCTAAATCTGAAACATCAACTTACTGACGTGTCAAAATGTTTCCTGTCAAAAGATACTAAACATAACAAACAAACATGACATGCCTCGCCTACCACCAGACCCAACTAAACAGAACAGCCCATCTGACAACGTCCAACAACTGTGTGACGCCATCACGTCAATACAGACCAAAATCTCTGAGGAATGTTTCCACCATTTTTTTTTTATATCTATGCTAAAGGCAAAAGGGGAATTATCACGTATGAGCAAGCACTAATCAGGTGGCCAGTAACATATCTTTAATGGCTCTAAGATGTTGCCAGGTATCATATGAATGTAGAGAACTAGTTAACTAGAATTTGATAGAATTATTGCTCACTTCCATCCACAAAATGTAAACAAACATTAGTATTTGGTTTATGGAGTGATGTCAATAACTGGGCGCCATCAAATTACTGCAGAAGAAAATCCCAGTAAGCTGATAGAGAGCCAAGAGCCAATCAAACCTCAGTCAAAAAAGTAAAGCAAGCAAACTGCTTGTTTCTTGATCTGAATGGTTGAACAAACCCATAACTCATTGCTCATGTATATTTATTCGTCTCTTTCAAGCCAAAAACACCTGCATAAAAGTACATAAACTATTTTCTTTGGCAACTGACTGAATCTGACTCAGTGGATTTTAACTGCAAGACTTTATTAAAAGCACATGAATGTATAATTTGTGCAAGGTCATGAAAGGATAAATATTAACCAGGCTCGTCTTTTCTTCATTCAGAGATGCAGGTCTCTGCTGCTTCTTCCAAGTATAAAAATACTTGTGATCAAAACCACTTAACTTAATATGAATGAATGTACTCTTACACAAGTGACGGCATTTAAGTAGATTACTGTGTTATGACACAAGGACACATCTTTATATTATGAGAAAAAGCCGTACTGTGCTTATACTGTAAAATTGTGACATGTGAAGTAAATTCAGTGAGTTAAGCACTAAACTCAGGCCTTTAAATTTTAGTCACTATAGCTCTTTTTAAAATAAATGCTATCCCACACTGGATTTAACCCTTGCCAGCCTTTAGTAGAAGCCACCCTTTGCCTTAAACATGCCGGCTGGTGGGCCTTTATAATAATGAGCTTCACCAGCAGGACACTTGCTCGCATTAACGATGAGCTGTACAGGCTCAGCTTCACTAAACAGTAATTATCTTTGCACATTATTCTGGCACACTGTAAATACATGTAAGTTTGACACATAAAAGCCGCGACACTTCACAGCAGACTGCTGTGGCTAGCTGAGAGGTTAGCTTGTTTGGGCTTTACCGGTTGTACATGTCAGCCATCATCTCCACCTCCAGCTCCGCCGCCAGCTGCTGCGCCTTCACAGGATCCATGGC